TCTATTCCTATTCCAATTTCTACAATCTGATAAAACGTCAGGTTAACAGAGCAGCTTGATGATAATGTTAATAACGACGTTAAACTTAAACGTTGTGACATCTAAACCATAATTTTGTTGTTAACCACACGTCATTGGTGCAATCATTACAGCATCTTCTGATTAAATATTGCTTCAAGAATGTATATTTAATTCCGCTAATGAATTATTAATTAAATTTATCATTTACCATGTTTGATCTGGCAGTGATGGAGAACAATTAGAGAATAAGGGACTAAGAATAATTTTTTTCCTATCTACTTTTAGAAGGATGACTCATTGATTTATTGATAAGATCAAGTTAAACAATTATCAATGTTATTTAATTTAATTCATTTCATTTTCAATAGTTATTGAAAATTGATGATGTCGTGAAAAGGAAATCTTGTGTCACAATACAAACAAAAGTAATATGAATTATTAGATAATAGAAGTTGCAACTTTGATCAAATGCCTAAGGTGGGCATGAGTTATACTGTCCATCATGAACGTGACAACACCGACAGCAACATTCGGTGTTGCCACGTGCATCTGGTGTTGTCACACCCATGATTAGCATTATAACTCATGCCCACCTTGTACATTAGATCATTTTTTATAAAAGTTGATAAGTGTTTCAACTAAATCATACTTGTATAGTCCTATGAGTTTTTAGAAAAGGAAAAATACAAAAAAAGTTTGAAGGGTAGTGGATAAGCCTTTTTTAAGAAACCTTTCATTGAAGAAACCCTTTTCTTGAAAGGCATGTAAAGTGGAATTATATGAAAAAGATTGATCATATTTATTTAAACGAATATTTTTTCTTGAATTCAATTACATTTACCCAAGATAATTCAACATATCTCTGCTATCATATTTATAAAAGAAAATTCCTCCTTTTTAACATTTGAAGATATAAATGTGAGACACATAAGGATTGTTTGTTTGTAGAAATAACTAAATTAGTAGTTTACTTTGAAGAATATTTACTTTAATTTTCTACTGTTCAGTAATGTTCGTGATCCCATTTATTACACTTCATCCTGTTTTGCTACATTTTTTTTATATATCATGTCAATTCTTTATCTAAGTCTTCATTTGGCAAATTTTGTTAATGATTTATAAAAATAAATAATATTTATGGACGCGTTTATTGTTGATTAAATTTATAAATTGTGTGTCCAACCTATGCTAATTTTTTATGTATATTTCCTTCCTAAAGCTGACAGATCAGAGCATAACCATTTTGTATTCTTCTCTCCTTCCTTAATTTTTTCTCCATTTTATAATATTCTACACAGAATAAAGTTTTAACTTTTGAGTTTGGGAATGGTGGCATAATGGCATAACGCAACCATTTCTGTTAACAGCTTTTCACAATTAAAATAAGCAGACATCACAAGGCAATAATACTTATTAATTTTGGATTATTCTGTCCTAATCTTTTGTGGGTTCAGTTCAAAGGGGTTGTTAAAGTCTTTTAAAAACTCCTAATCCTAATTATTACTGGGATCTGAGAATATTTATCCAAAACACGATTTCTTAATCCAGAAGGGAACAAAAGAAGGTGGTGGTGGATATAGAGATGGATATGATAAAGTGTCTTGTTTTTTGTTGACTGTCATGATTTGTACTATTATGTTAATAAGTTAAATGATTAGAGGCATGGCATTTGTTCAAGAATATAGGAGATGCCCCAATCTCTCTTAGCAGCTCCATTCCTCCTCTACAGGTCTCTCTCTCTCTCTCGCTCTCCACATATAAGGTCACAACCTTCAAGTTTCAGTAATTATGTTTTATTTTTCCTTTTTCTTTAGAAATTACTTTAATGCTGAAACAGTGGAGTTATAGATATTATAACTAGTGTTATAGACAATGAAGTTTTATTTTGTGGGTATAGAAGGTTTTTTTGCTTCTGATCAGTCTGCCAAAGTTCATTTTTTTATCAAGTTACAGCAGTATCTCTGCTGGAGTTCCATTTTGTTTGTCGATTTCCGGATTAAGAAGTACTTTATGAGGTTCTATATATCACTGGGATACTCGTGGGAATAGATCGCGGCATTCTTCTGGTGCAAGGATTGGATTGCCATGTTTCAAGCCATAATATACATTAATGGCCTTTTCGGTAGTGAGGATTTGATAGTCCTTTACTATATATTAGAAATAAGCTAAAATCTTGTTTATTGCCTATCTATCTAACGGTGCATACCAAACATGGACGAAAAGGTTTAGAAATATGAATTTACGTTCTCTGAAATTCTAAAACAACTGAGTAATAGAATATACCTAATTGAGATGTACAAGTTTCAATAACCTTGAGTGAGATATAAGGCCGCCATTGAGTCTTTGGGCTTTCAACTCTGATTATACTACTATGGCAGTACCAGCCATGTCCAGTGATTATAGAATGTGGAGAGAAATAGGCTTACAGTTGATTATTAGGACTGTAACTTGACGAATTTTTTCTTAGTTAGCCCCTGATTGACAACAATTATTTTCTCACTCTTTATTCTTCATATTCATTTTCAACTACAAATTCATACAATAAAAATTTTTGCACAAAAAACCCAAAACTTTGCCCTTCATTTTACCCACTCATTCTCCTAAAAATCACTATTTGAAACTCTATTTCCCCAAATAATGGTTGTCAAATAGGAGCTTAGTTGGTTCGTTTGTTATTCTGGGAACTGTGGGTTTTCTGTTCTTGTTAAATGGTGCTGTTTTTATAAACAATGATTTGCAAAGATTCGCAGAGTTAGCTTTTCCACTCTTATCTATCTTGTCTTTTTGCCTATTTCTTAGTGCCTTAATGAGCAGTCAAGTTAGTGCTTTGAATTTTATAGTTATTCGATGCCATTATAGGATGCTAAACTCATCCACAACAGATCGAGATCAACAAACAGCAGATTCGCTGGCTACTTTCTTTCATAGACGCTCATCTCAGTGTCAATCCACCAGATCACAACAGTATTCTCTTTCCAAGGGTGAAGCAGCTGAGACGGAATCTGTAGAGGAATATTATTTCGACAAGAAGCAGTCAGAATGTCAATTTCATAAACTTGATTCCTTCTCAACTCTGTCAATTGGTCAATCTCCTTATGAAGTTGCTGCTATGGAAAGAGCCACCTACTCTTATATGCAAAATATTGCATGTCAAGCAGGTATTGATTTTCGTACATTTGACGTAGTTTACTAGTTTACCAAACTGTAATTCCTAGGAATATAATATTTAAAAGATTAAGATTTCTATATGAATTTTTGGTTTATCAATGAAGAGAAGGAAAAAAAAGGGAATTATTGCCCCTTGCATGACCTTTATTCTATGTTGCATCGTCCTATATCTTAGTGAACTTCAAGAATGTTTTGCGGATATTATTAAGAATTTACTCTCAACTCTTTCTGGTGTTATATAACAGCATTTTCCAGGATACTATCAGGTCATAGCAATTAATCTAACATCTTCTCTGATATATGTTCTTGATATGGCATGCCACTCTGTTTCTTATGACGTTTTCAATTACCATACACTGGTTCCGCCACCACAAAACTAATAATTACATTTCATGCTAGAACTTGGAAATTCTCAGTTTAGAAACAAGGTGGAATATTGAGCTTTTTGCACGGTACGGATTACTCTGTTTCATTGTCTATGGCTTACACCATGTTATCTTGCACCTAGATTGCCTTGAAACTCATAAGATGAAAGGGGAATATTGCATCAAGCCGTCTCTGCTGTATGGAAATGCAGATTACGTTGCTCATCAAGTTCAATGGGATCATAATCAGTCAATTGTTAGTTGCTGTTCTGTCACCAATTTTTTACCAAAGATTGTACCTTTACAAGAAAGAAAGCTGATTCTCAGTTGTTACAAGTTACATTCCACATTATTTTCTTGCAGGCTCACATATCCCATCCTTCGTCTGAATCTTACTTCAGCCAGCTTGTGGTTGCTTACAGTCCAAATGCTGTTGTAAGTGCTGACAGACTAAAGTTCATCGATTATACTCTCCACTCCGTAATGCAAATTTTATAGATTGGTTTGTTTTGCTCGTATTTGCATTTTTTCCACTTGCCTCTTGTGGAAAATTTCAGACAACAGATTTGCAGCTGAACTATGAACTGTTCTCTTTGAACCAAAGAAAATTGAATCTGGTTTCTCTGAATTTATTTTATTAAATGCAACAGATTAAAAGTTGAACAAGAAATTTGTTTTCTGCGGGCACAAGGGTCCTCTGAACTAGCTAAAGGATGGAATTTTTCTGTTTTTCTCTTATGAGACATATTTCGTATCTCAACCAGATTTATCCTCAGATGGTGGGGATCACCACACCTGCAAGAGTTGCTCTACCTCTTGATTGTAGGGAAAACACGCCCATTTACGTCAATGCAAAACAATACCGAGCCATCCTCAGGCGTCGACAAATCCGAGCCAAGCTTGAGGCTCAGAATAAGCTGGCCAAGTCAAGAAAGGTAATTGTAACTTCTGATCCTTCATTTTATTGCTCTACATAAAATTACATGTTTATATGCTATTAATTCTTGTCTTTCCCTGTTGCAGCCATATCTTCATGAATCGCGACATCTTCATGCATTAAAGAGGGCTAGGAGTTCTGGAGGGCGGTTTCTGAACGCAAAGAACACACAACAATCAAAGCCTTCATACAAAACATATGGTGAAAATCTCTCTTTAAAACAGTTCAGCAAAGACATATCAGAAGCTGAGATTCAGCACTCGGAAAGCAGCAGTTGGGGTGCTTCGCCTGCAAACTCTGATTTCTCGAGCATATTGAACAAGCACGACATTTTCCAACCACCTGACGACAGGCTTCAGTTATTTATCGATAAATGCGCACCAATCAGCACTGCAACTTGAGTTTGCACTCCGATGGAAAATCGGCAGTTCATCCTTGGCTATATCTTACTGCTTTTGTAGAACTTGAATCATCTTATTTGAATAACATGGGCTTCATCCTTGGCATTGTTATTTTGGGATCTGTAATTGGTTAAGCTTAGAGCTTGCAAATAAACAGAAAATCTTAACTGGTTATTGGTGTGAAATTCTTGGATTATATAAATAATCATCTTGTTTGTTTCCATAATTTTGGTAGGTATTGAAATTCTAACTTTTCCTTTGCTGTTCTCATTCTATTGTCTTCTGTGCGAAACATTAGTCCCTTGTAATTTCTAATGTCCTATTCAAATCCCCTTTCACTCTCACTCATGAAAAAGATTCCATATACAAAAATTTACGATGTTGCTATAAAACGAGCCTCACAAATATCCAGCTGAAGGTTAGAGTTCGAGCTCCTCCAGTGTTCTTAATGAGCTCGAAAGCTCTCCTATTGTCGAACTCGAAAGAGAGAAAGGGCATAAGCTTTATATAAATTTAGGATGAATTCTCGTATCTCTTTGTTTGCTCACTGGGCATTGTATAAGACACTTGGGGCGTTTCGTATGGTATAAATTTTGGCGTTGTCCCCAACTTGCTGTCTCCTTTTGGCTTTGATTAGATCATTTTTTTCTTCCGTCTTTCATATTTTTTGTGTTTGATATACTTATGGTATCTTCATATTACATTGAAATTTGGTCTTGCTGCTCGTATATATAAATTAACTATATGCAAACATATAGAGTATGAGGCATAATCGAATCTCCATAGTCATTCACTGTTAGCTGCTCAGATGACATTCAAAGAGGAAGAGACAGTGAGACAACTGTGCAGATTTGCAGGCTGCTCAATGAAGCATTTGGATGTTCATTATTGTCAAAGCCTTGTGCTTGTTTTGTTATTTTTTTCTAATAAATCGAGCTAGTTCGTTGTGTTCTAAACAAATTTATTTTGCCATCAATGTTTGAACAGCTTGTTAAAGCCTATGTTGTATATGAACAACTCATAATATCTTTGCCAAATGATTCATTCTGTGTTGATTTGTCTGGAGAAGTGCAAAAACAAATGTTGACTACGCTTGAAGTGGGTGAATAATGTAACACTCCAAGTTCTAGCAATTTGATACGTTATTAAACATGAATTTGTTAATGTGTTTAAAAAAAATACTTTAAATATAATGAGCAAATTCAATAAAAATTGACAACATTTGATGAAAGGAAATATTTAATTTATTAAAATATGTGGAACGTTTTGAGATCATATCTTTCATCAAAACATCAATAAAGCTTGCTCAACATGCACTAAAACTTAGAGTAATTAAAAATTATAATGTTACTTCAAAACAAATCAAATTCAACAAATAAGGTACTTCATGACGAGAATTCGTGGTCCAATGGCACATCCATCTATCTATCGCCATCCAACATTTTAATTTTTACCTGAAATTTGTAAATAAAGAATGATGAGTATAACAAATTATATTCAATGAGATGCTTGCTACTGCAAATTCAAATATAAAATTATGTATAAATTTTCTTACCAATATGAAATGAGAATTATCATTCCATAAAAATTGATAATTCTAGTAAGTGCTATAAAATAATGTGAAGACTAATTAATATTAGAAGGTATACCTTAAACAATATTATAATTTCTCTAGAAGGAACCCTGAACTGAAATAAATTGTAATTAAATTCTTACATAATAATGTATTTCAAAATATGTGGAAAAAAATGTCTAATAGTATTGAGCGCCTGACCTGAAGCTATTAAATAACAATTCTTGAATTGGTTAAAACACAGGATAAAATTGAAACTCCTTTAGAAACCTTTTACAAGTTTTAATAGGGATTTTAGCTAAATTTTTAATGAATGAAACAATAGTTAAATAATGAAAATCATGACAAACATATGTGCATGGCATTGATATTTATAGATAAAACTTAGAGTAGTTTGATTAAAATTATGATTATATCATAATCAATTAGTTATTATCCTAAATTATTAAATAATGACTAATTAATTAGCTCAATTTTTATTGAATAACACAGGTGAAATCAAATTTCACAATAGTCATATGACTTGTCGAAGTATGAATTGTTTTTCTAATTGATTAATACTTAGATTCTAACTAAATCATAAACAACTTAATTAATAATTAATCAAACTCTTATTCTTTTACTACTTTTGATTTTATCGGGAAAAAAGAAAGAAATAAATAAAGAAACTAATTGCTGACTACTATTGGATTGAAATTTGATTTAAATTAGGATTTAACCACCAAAAAGACTTGAAAATCCTACTTTCCAGGAGGAAACCAAACTAAACTAATAGGAGGAAATTAAATTGGGATGAAGTGACTTGTAAAACTATTTAATTAATTCCTAAAAAATCATTTGACGACAATTTCTCTTCGATTGCTCTAACTTGATTCGATCTTATCCAAATCGACTTCTTCTCACTCCTCATATACATAGTTAATTATGATCTATCAAGCGAGTACAATATTGTTATTGTAATTTAATCTAAATCAAAAACTAATATCATCAACTAGGCCTTTTTTTTTATTTGGCTCTAACTCAAGTTTAACTTATTCAAATTAATTATTATTATTATTATTATTATTATTATTATTATTATTATTATTATTATTATTATTATTTTTGGAATCCATAATTTGGAATTTATTGTGAGCTTCAAAATGGGCCCAATATTGATAGGATACTTTTAACTCACTCAATAATTAACTATTTTGCCCAATTAAATGAAAGTATAAAATTTAATACTTATTTCCACTTCGTCTCTCAACTATATATATATTTTGTGTGTGTGTGTGTGTGTGAAGCCTCGGTCAAATATATTGGAATTTATTGCACTTTTTGGCTTTTGTCAAATAAATTTCAGCTTTTCTCAAAATAAATTTTAGCATTTATTAAAATAAGAAGCCTTAACAATTTAGCACTGCATAAGGATAGGATGACATACAAGAATCGAGATCAATTTTGAACTCCAATCATGATTTAAATATCTATACTTGGACTTGAGAGACTATTGTGTTTGTCAAAACTCTAACACTGATAAGAACACTTGTGCAAAATACATTCCACTTAATACTGAAGTCCACGGTAAAGTACTTTTTATGCACTTATTTGAGCGATTATCTACTTAATTTGGGTAAATTATGTAAATTGTAGGACAATCCCAACCTGGACACAATTTATATGAAAAGAGGCCATTAGGAGCTTAATTGGAATTCATTTAAAGCAATTGAAGATTGACTGGATTGCAAGAGATGAATTGGAAATATTCATGAGGCATTCGGTATAAAATTCCTAAATTTTGGGAGTTAAATACGACATTTGGAAAGTTTGAGGATTAAATTGCAAACTTTGAAACTTGTCTCGGGCCAACTATTATGATTTTTGAATGAAGATAACTTAATTGCAAAATAAAAGAAAATGGAGGAATAAAGTAACACGGGTAAAGGAGTTCAATTGAAAAAGAAATTTGTTTCCTTTTATTTCTTAAACTATTTAGTAGAAATTGATTTTAAATCTTTAGTAGAAACCAATTTAAACTCTTTATTGGAAATTAAATTGAGTAAGGATTTCGCATAAAACTTTTTCTAAAAATACATACCTTAGTCCAACAATTAAAGGGGGCTTGTGGAGTTTCATTAGACACATATATTCAAGCCAAGGCTTGTGGATCATTGTACATATATTATTCAAACCAAAAGGAAGAAAAAAAATCAGGAAATCACTCAAGAGTTAGGGTTTCAAGGATTTTACAAGAGGTAGATTCTTTGTACAAGATCTTCATCTTTTTCACATTTTTCCGTAACATTCTGTGATGTACTTTAATTCTTTCTTGTATTTTTATTCTCCCATGATGTGTAATTAAGCATTTAGTTTGGATGAATGATTGTAGCCTTGTTTTGAACCTTAATTTTAATTAAAAAATTTTAAATATCCAATTGATTTTCTGAATTGTTTTTGCTTCTATTCTTAATGCTTAGATTGATTGGCTGCTAATTCATTGATTTCATAAAAATAATTGTGTAGGGATGTAGATTATTTGTTTAGACCACGTAGTAAAAGTTGGTAACTAGTATAAAATGTAGAGATATTTATGCTAATTATTACAATTGTTACATGAATTCTTAAAACATAAGTACTGTTAAATTGATCAATGAGAACTCGAAAGGAGTAAATTGGTTCACATAGAGATATGAAATTGAATTAATCAAATAGATCAATGAAAACTTGAGAGAGATAAATTGAATATATTAGAAAAATTCGATCGGATAAACATAATCAATTGTATAAAACTCAACAATTGAGATTAAGGGGATAACTATGGTAAAAACACAAATCCTAACACTTAACCATCAAATTGAAAATTCACTTTTATTTGTTTTGGTATATTAAGTCCCCATTTGAGCCTTATTATTTGTAAATTATAATGAGATGACTAGTATTTTCTTGAAAAATGAGTGGTTGAAAAGTTTTTTATTTACGTATAATATTATTTTATTGAAAATTGTGTGGTTAAAAGTAGGAGAGAGAAAAATTTAATTTAATGTAATAAGAAATAATGGGGCTAAAACAGGGGCTAAAATAGAAAATAGCAAAAAGAAAAATAAATATTTTATTTGTTTTCAATCAAATTCAAGTTAGGAATAATTGAACCAATTATTAAATAGTAGTTCTCGTGGGAACGATATCTGGACTTTTATGTCCACTTTTTACTTGTTTTGATTCGTACACTTGCGAGATATAAAAATTGACAACATCCACGCATGATATAAATAACCATACATGGATTTGGAAGACTATTGTTACGCCTCACCAAATGGGCTCTACGTGACCGATCCCCAAAAGTCCCTTGCCATGAAATCACGCGAATTATTGGAGTTTGTAGATTTGAAGCACCGAAGCCATACTTATCGAAACAGTCCATTCTAACGATAAAGTCTCGAAGCTACCTTCAAGGCTCAAGTGCATCTCCCTGTCGAAGGATGAAGTTCAAGAGAAGTAAAAATCAAATCTCAATCACAGCAAGTGATGACCCATACGTAAAAATCCATTTTTATGTATGGAATCCTTTTGGAATGATTGGTGAGACATTTGTAATAAGTGGAATGTCAAAGTCATGTCAGTTTAGGTTGTAAGATTGCTACTCTCCACCAGAGCATTAAATGCGCTACAAT